ACTACATGGCCCCTAATGCCTTGCAAGACCACAGGGATCATGGAGGTGCGGATTACTCACATAGTCATGGTGTCTGGTGCTCCCCGACGAGGACTTTGAGCTGGCCCAAGAGGGCTGCCACCCGAGCCCACCCTATGGTGGACGTGATTGTCGCTGGACACTCCGCCTTTTGACACAGAGCCCTCGGTAGCGTCTTGTCTTCACCATTCCGACAATTTCCGGGAGAGTACGCCATACCATTCAGCCAACAACGCTGTCCGAGTCGAGTAGGGAGCTGGGAGAGCGGGAATGCCCAGAAGTTGGTGACGTCGAGTTGGCGCAACTTCAATACAATACCGTGCCCTGCGCGTCGTAATCCTGAGCCAGAATACGCAAGAATGAAGTGGTTACATTGAGCTGTCGAGGAGATATCGTCGTCCGAAGTTCCTTTGGGGGCGCTTAGGAGGGGAAAACAGGCAAATGCGCGACACGCGGCGCGACGCTCTCACGACAAGCGAGCTGAAACCGGCTGTAGACGCTTGACACATCTGCGTTGGCAAGCGCCTCAAGCGTCTAACTTCCGCACTTGGCCCCTCGAGCCTCGCATCTCTTACTACTTTGTCTCTTGCCGTATAGGCATCTTGTCCTGTCTCTGTTTCTCGTCTCGCTTTCCTCTTCTTGTCTCGCGATCGATATCTGTCTCCCTCCCTCAACTCCACCAACACTGGTGTCACTCAGCGTCTCGCTCTCCTCAAGAACGCTCAGGCGACTGGCCAAATGCTCCCCGCTGCTCCCAGCCCCTAAGACGTGCACCTAACAGCATATGCAAACTCGCTGGCCTTAGAGGTCCTCCACTCATGATGCAAGGCAGCACGCAGCCCTGAGATCTCTTGATGCTCGGAGTGGACCAACTAACCTCCCTCTGCCTGTCCCTCCTCAACTGCAGAGCTGGAACTCTCCGGGTCCCTTCCGCGGTGGTCTCCCGCCTTCTGTTGTCCTCGACGACCCGCGGCATGCGCCGTTGCACGCTCCTCTGGCGCCATGGACCTGGATAGGCCGCTCATGCGAGAGCACTCGAAGTCTTTCCCCCCCTCCTCCCGGTTGCGAGGTCGGTGCTCGTGGACCAGCTGGTGACCTCTTGCACCATCCAGCGCCCCAGTCACAGGGCCCTCGAGAGGCTCTCCACCAACCCCGGCACCTACACCAGTCACCCCTCCACCCCATGCGCGTTCTAGCAATATTTGCGTCTTCCCCTCCATACGCACGTCCTCGCTCAGCAATCATGAACCATCCTGAGCGCCCTTCTTTGGGCCCTACACAAAGCTCGAGCGGTCGGAGGTGATCGTCACGGCGTCCGGCGCATCCGCATGAGGAGCCTGGCTAGGGGTGGTGGGTTCCTGTAGAAGTCCTTCAGTGGGATCGCGAGCCTCGAGTGCCCCTTCATCCTGCATACATTCGTGCCCTCATTCGCCCCCTGTCCCTCATCGTCGAAACAAGGTTGTCATGCAGGTGTGTACTGATGCATGTTCCGCCCGCTCCTATGTCGACTTACTTCGCTCTTCGAACCCACCTTGATCCATATTGCGTTCAGACTGTCGATCAGGCGAGCGTCGAACATCTTGCTAGCCTCCTTTCCGCCGCTGACCCGCCGATCCCGCACTATCTCTGGATCGAGCAGCCGAACAACGTTCCGACGTGCCTCGCGCTCGCACCCAACCAACGCGAGTCCAAGATCGTGGAGGCCCTCGACAAGTCCGGGGGGCGACTGTGGAAAGGTTGAAGGCCAATGGGAAGGAGGACATACACCGTGTATTGATACATCGCAAGTACAACAATCGCAGCTCGTGTTAAACAATTAATCAGCCTCGCGGGCATGAGGAACGAGACTCCGAGGGAATAGATTACGCCGCACCACACCGCGGCGGATCGTCGACTACTACATCTTAAGACTTGTGCAATCGTGTATCTCATTCTCCGTAAGTGTGATATGATCCTTTTAGATCGTGTACCTGGGTTGGTTGGGACGTCAGTTCTGTGTCGCCGAGGAATGTGGTGATGATGGCAGGGACTCAGGGAGAAAAAGTAAAGGACGTGGGGACATAGGGAGAAAAAGTGTTGGTTATGGAGAAGGAGGTGCACACAATTTCTTGAACTGGATCTTGGATTGCTGGGCCGTGATGAGCTTCTTGAGGTCTCCGACAGTATTCTCTGAA